AAATGGTCTTTATGTAGTCAATTAATAAATGAAAGCTGGCTTGGGGGTTGGAGCACGGCTCTCTCCTTCTCTAGACCCACACATGCTTGTTGAAGGAAAGTATAAAATCTCCGTCTCGTATCAGAAGAGCCACCCAGTCAGGGACAGAGGAAAACAAAACAATAGGGGACTTCTATTGCCATCAATCATCTTTATGTTTTTGACTTTCTAAAACCCTGTGGTGATCCGGTAGTAGTAGTTATGCAGAGTACTAACTAATTCTATAAATAAACTTCATCAAGCTTCCTGTACATGTTTTTGCCAAGGGCCAGCTTCGGCTTGGAGCAGGGGGTCCCAAGGAAGGGGTGTTTGGGAGCTGGGAAACAATGACTCAGATTCAATCGTGTATACAAGCTGAGAGCTCTGGAGTGTACCGGAGAAAACTGTCTTCGAGATACAAAAAAAAAAAAAAACCAAAAAAAAAAAAAAACCTAAGAGCTCTCTGGATAGCTTATGGGTTTCCAACCAGTCATAAAAGCTGCTAGGAAAAAAATTCTTGGATTTTTTTTCTGACCAAAGTCAGAAATCCTGTTAGAGAAATCCAAAAACAGAGCATTGTTTGCTCTCTTAGTTCTCTTTAGGTAGCTCAGCTCTTGCAGACCAAAGTCCTGTCTTTTATTTGCATATCAATTCAATCATCCACCCCAGGCTCCATTTTGATTATCCCAGGAGTCTGCATTTTATGACCATAGCCCCTTAATTCTTAGAAGGAAAAGAAAAAAAAAACACAGCAAGTACTTATTTTTAACACGGCAAATGAATTCAGAGATCTGCCCACCTTTGTAAGGCACAGACAATAAGCCAGCTGGGTGGGTCTTGCCCTGAAATTGCCATTCTTACCAAGCCTGGGCCTGGACCTAAACTCCCCTTGTCCCAGGCTGACCTTGAACTCAGGAATCTGCCAGACTTTGTAAACAAACAAAAAAACAAAACAAAAAAAAAGACAAACAAAAAAACGGAAACAAATTTAGCTAGGTGGTGGGATCTTGCCCTGCAATCGCCAGCCCCTAAATCCCTTTATCTCCTTTCTTAGTACCTGACAAGCTTGCTCATGGTGCAGCTGACTGCTCTTTTAGGTCCCTGAAGTCCCTCCTCATATGATTCATATTGCATCCTTGTATTTTGCACAGTTGAGAAATCCTGTGTGACTAGTTTTGAACTCATGTTTTCAGAGTTCTTTCCCACGGCCTTAAGAGCTGTGCTGAAGGTCACAACAGTCACTGGGCTTTTTTTTTTTTTTTTTTTTTTTTTTTTGCTAAGGCTATTAGACACACCCTCGCCTCCCAGACTCATGCTGCTTCTAACGAGAGCACGGGGTCATTAACCTTGGCAGGGAGAACATTCCCCAGTAAACTTGGCAGGGAGAATATTTCCCAAAGGAGGAACATAAAGTTAACTATGTACTTTTTTTTTGTTTGTTTGTTTTTTTGAGACAGGGTTTCTCTGTGTAGCCAGGGCTGTCCTGGAACTCACTCTGTAGACCAGGCTGGCCTCGAACTCAGAAATCCACCTGCCTCTGCCTCCCAAGTGCTGGGATTAAAAGATGTGCACCACCACTGCCTGGCAACTATGTACATTATTATATAAGTAAACCTTATGCTGACACTCATGACACCCTGCTAGCTCTGTTCCTGGGTCAGATACTGTGCCATGGCGTCCCTTCCACAGGGGCTAGGCAGGTCTCAGGGCTGTTTTCAGGTCTCATGCTGAATTGGGTACATAGTAACAAACTCTGTGTACCTTGGATGTGCTTAAATACATTGTGGCCCTCAAACCTCTCCGGGATCTGCTGACTGTCAACAAATCTCCCTGGATCATGGCAACACTAACCACCGGGGAAAATTGCCCCATGCCTCTTCTGCCACCAGGTTCTGCGCAAACAGTGGACACCTTTGGATCGACCACTATGTTCTGCCTAGCCAGGATTGTTGCTAAGCTACAAACACCACCCAAAGATCAGCTTTGGACTATAAACTGCTGAGGACATTCAAATTGCTGAGTTACTGTGAGACAGACACGAACATTTTACAGAACTTTGAACTCAAAAATGCTTAGCCCTAAATCTGCCAAATACAACCAAGCTGGACACTGGAGAAAGCTAGTTTTACTGTGTTAAGAGCTAAAACCTTTTATTTTTTAGTTAGGCAAAATGGGGGAAAATGTTGTAGGAGCTTTGATCACACTGTGAAGGCCGAGACTATGGTATTTACTAGGAAGACATGTTTCTAGTTGCAGTGTGGCTCAGCCCTGGCACACACATACCTTTTTAAATCCATGAACTTTCTGCTATATTGTGAGCAAGGTTAAATAAAATCAACCATAGCTCAAAAAGGAGACCAAGCAACCAGTTGACTGCAAGAGAACATGGGATCATTAAAGAAAAAAAAAAAAAAACAAAACAAAAACAGAGGGTAAGAGGGAGTCAGGAGGCCGGGCGGTGGTGGTGCACAGGGGAGGTGGTGGCGCACGCCTTTAGTCCCAGCACTTGGGAGGCAGAGGCTGGCGGATTTCTAAGTTCGAGGCCAGCCTGGTCTACCAAGTGAGTTCCAGGACAGCCTGGGCTATACAGAGAAACCCTGTCTTGAAAAACCAAAAAAACAAACAAACAAACAAACAAACAAAACACAGAGGGAGTCAGGAAAATAGGTGCACAGGAAGAGAAAGGGAGGGGCATTCAGTTTGGAGGTTTTTAGATGGCATGAGAGTGTTGGACTCTAAGATCCAAAACCAGGGGACCAAAAACACACAGAGACAGGACTGGCTGCAATCACATGAGGTGTGGTTTAACGAAACTAGTGCACTAGGACTCTCTCCCATGCAGGCAAGACAGTGCTGAACAAGAGTTGGGTACAGTACTTATGGGTACAGTATAGTTCACGAGGGTAAACCACAAAGTCTGACCTTTCCAGGTTTGGTTCCTAGGTGACTAAGACTATGACAAGGAGTGTCTTCCTTTTGCCCAGGTTTATTACGTTAAGGGCTCAGCTTCTTGTTTCCTGGAATGTATCTACACTCTGAGCTCTCAAGGAATGTTAATCAGCCTCTCCCTTCCTCCTCTGAATGGTAATCCAGCAAGTGTCCTCTGACTAGGGAATGTGCCCCTCCTGGGATGTGTCCTGGGACAGTGGGATTCTTTTCAAACCGAGACCCAAAAATCCTACATTTAGACCCAAAAGTCTTACAAGAGAGGGGTATTTCTGTTGGCATTCCTGTTGGAAGGAGGAAGGTTAGCTAGGTGCTTTCTCTGCCTCTCTGAGCTAGTAGGCTTTCAACCCAGCATCTGACTTCCAAGTCTTCACTGGTAAAACCAAACAACTGAGATTTTGTTAAAAACAAAACAAACAAACAAAAAAAACCCAGGTGACTTTGTTAACTGGGTGGATTTCAGAGTAGAAGCATGCCGGAAACTATACACTCTGCCAATTTTATGCCAATTTTATTCAAATAGAGTTAAAACTAAAGTTATGAGTGTTGTTTTTGTTTTTTTGTTGTTTGTCCAAGATTTTAAATCATTTTAGGAAAACTGTAAATACAGAAACCTAGGCTGAGGACTGATGCATGGTTTTGGGGTTTTTTTTTTGTTTGTTTTGTTTTTTGTCTTCAATGTGATCGAAGATGCACTCAGCTGTGTCCTGTGTCCTGGCCATCAAGCCCCATCAGTGTGTACCTGATGCCAGCCCCGAGATCTTTTCAAGGTTATCAACTGTGACCATCTCGAAATATGGGTGACCTGGGTCATCGCTGTACCTCGTGCTTTTCATTCTCTTGCTACTGTTAATACAGTCACACCAATGGCTGGCATATTATGGATTACGAATAATGGTTGGTCAGCTTGTCATTTTTCCATTTTACAGTGCAAAGGATGACTCTGGGCTGTGGCTGGCCACAGGTATATTTGTTTCTGTGTATATTGATCACTTGGGTTATGCTGAGTAAATCAAGACCTTTTGAAGGAAAAGGTTGACATTGGGTTTCTGTGGAAAAGAAAAGACCTAATGTCTTTATGGATAGGGAACCTCTCGAGTATTCTAGTGGTCGTGGCTCTTGGTTTATCTTGTGTACCTATAAACAACAACCAGAGACTGGGTGGTATTTCTTTGCTCTGGAGTCTGGGACAGTCTGAGATCAAGGGGGCTGGTGTGACTAGTCCAGCCAATATGTTATTCTATGGTGCCTCCAGGGAAGACAGAGCAGGCTCAATCTGCCTCCAAGTCACCTCACCTCTCCACTGAGGAATCTACACCCACAACGTCTCTTTCAGACGTGTAAAGAACTCCCTGGAAACACCTCACGTCTCAGCCTGAGGATGCACTCACTGCAAATTACGATTCTAATCCACGCGCCTTGGGGAACACCACTCAGCCCACAGCCGCCTCGAGGATGCAGCCAGCCCGGCAGGGGGAGCCAGGATACCTCCCTGGGCTAGGGCTCCAGTTTCAGACCAGTGTGAGCAGCCAGCGTGCCAGACTTATACCCAGTCGCAGAGATCCCAAACAGGGTCCCCGTTCCACGTCCTGCAGTAACCTGTCTTTAAGAGGGACCCATGAGATGGCACCCACAACTAACGGCAGCGCAGATGTGTGCCCAGTGGTCATGCGCAGCTCAGGATGCACACTGAGGAAGAGGAGTTCCCTTCAGAGTCCGACTCTTAAACCTGAGAGGCCAGAGAGAGCCCAGGGCTGACTGGAGGATTCTCTAGTCTGGAAATGGAAACTGGAAAGTACAAGAGGATTTATTGGAAGTGGCGCAAGGCATTCAGTCGCCCAGGCAGGGCACAGCCAAGACACAGATGAGTCTTATCGGCCATGTGCCAACCTGGACTTTGTGAGCACGCAGACAGCTGCGGAGAGAGATGGGGGCGAGAAGGGATTGCGAAGTCTTAGGACCATGTGTGCGCCGTTAACTCTTTATGCTCCAGAAGGATGTGAAGTGGACATTTGAAGCTCACTTCCTCCCACCAGGGGCATCGGCCGAGAGCTGAGAGCAGCATTTACTTATTCCCAGAACAGCCTGAGTCTAATGGCACGCTCACTGGTGAAAGACCGGGTGTGTGGTCCTCCTCCGTCTAGGAGATAAGGAAACTAGAGCATCCACAGAGAGCTGTGAGAGCATGAGGGTTTATTGCTTTAGGTTAGACACCTAGGCAGGGACGTGCAGACCCACAGGGTTAGCATTTCTTTCTCAGCCCGCCCTGCTCCACAGCTTAGCAGCCTCGGCCTCTCTGAGTGGTGTCCACTGTCTTGGTCTCAGTGCCCTGCCCCCACCCCTGCAGGGGCTTCTCAGGGTGAGGGCAGGAGGACACCCAGGCACTGCCTCCTGCAGGAGCTGCTCAGACAGCAGCTGCCACTCTGCAGGGCACACTGTTCCTGGGGAAAGGGGCGCTGCCAGCTCTGGAGCTGGAGCAGGGAAGAGGGGACCAGTCCTGCAATAGCTCAGAGCCCCCAGGGGGATCTCCTCCACCCTCCACAGCCGAGGGCGAAGGTCTGCAGCCTTTGGGCATTCCAGTGCCCCGGCCTATGACGCCAGCAACCTGTGCGCACGCGCACACTTGTGTTTCCTCAGGCATCTGTTACATGGGCCTGGGCTGCACCTTCTGAACCCACCTCCGGCTTCTTTCCCCGTGAGTTCCAAGTATTTGTGACAACAGCGGGCACGCGTGGCTAAGTCCAAAGGCACGCAGGTGAAAGAAAGGTAGAAGTTAGTTCTTTACACCAAACTTCTGAACTACCTCCTTGTGTCCCCGGCACCCTTTGTCCTTATGGCCTGCCTGGGCTCTAGGGTACAAAGGACCTGTAAAAAGAGCTAGCCCTGAGCATGCTTTCAGACCCCCTAGCTTCCCTTGGATGGCTGCAATACCACAGCTGCCCTGAGCATGCGCACAGACACCCCCCCCCCCCCCCGCCACCTTCCCTTGGAGAGCTGCCATCCCCACAGCTGCCCTGCCCCACCTTACAGGACATCTCAAGGATCCAGTGACATCGCATAGGTGATTTGTTAGTGTGTTTTCTAGACACCACTCCGTGACCCGGCACCCTGGGTTCCTTTCTGGGTCCCTGCTGAATTCTGCAGGCCTCCCCGATTGCGAGCCCGCCTCACAGCCCAGTTTACTGTTCACTGACCTTATCATCTCTGGTAGAGGTGGGAGAGTTTGTAGGCTTGCGCCGTGCACACCCAGATGTGTCCAAGACCCTTGCATAAAAAAGACTGCATTCAGAGCCCTGGGAGAACTCGGGGAGGGTCAGGAGGACGACCGAGCGTGCAAATACCAGTTCCTAACGGAGACACAGCAAGCAGGGCAGGAGTTCCAGTTCAACAGTGACGCAACTCGGCAATTCTGTCCTTCCGTCTATGGCGTCTGCTAAGGATCTCTCCTACCCAGGGCAGGGGCCCCATAATAAAGCTCTGAAGACAGTTCTAACCAGAGTTCCAGACCTCTTCCGTGAGCCCTGGACCCAGTGTGCTACCATCCAGAGCCACACTAGTCAACTCAAGGTTTCCCGCCTCTTCAGAGAAGGGAGGTGCCTCATCCCTCTCCAGGATGTCCCTCAATGTCCTCTAGGAAGAGAGGCGGGACACCCCGTCTACCTGTTGGGTTGGTTTCTCTGGTGCCAGTCACCGTCATATGCATCACACATGGGGAAAGGTCTGGGGATGAGAATGGGAGATTCCTATGCTCACACATGGATGAAGAGATTCTGTCCCTGGCTTCTGTTCCTCGCTATCACCTGAGATTGGGTCTTAGAGTCACCACCCTAGACCCAGACACTCCAGGACCCATTGCCGCATGCTTTCCCGCTTTCCCGATCTCCCCTCTGCCTGCCCAGGCTCTCACGCTCCCTCTCCAGTGCCATCATAAGCATAGCAGAGGAGCTGGAGGGAGAGGGACACCCATTCTAGGGACCACGTAAAGCTGCTGCATCCCATGTCTGGAAGCGAGCATGGCGGTCCCGCTCTCTCCTCGCTCCCACGGCCCCTTCCAGCCCATCTGCATACTCCACGCCCTCACCCTGACTCTCCCGGCTCAGTCTGCTCCTAGTAAGGCCTGCATCACAGGACCCACACCAGCCTCACCTGCCCTTAGGTGGGCGGCTCCTCCCCTGTCATGTAAAGGAACACGCCTCTCTCTGCAGGGAAGGACAACAGACACTTGGCATCTGGGGGGAGAGGGGACCTCAGGCAGGCACAGCGCATGTCCCAGTTTCCCTCCCACCTGATGGTGGCACCCGACCCCCTTCTGTGGACTCTCCCCCCAGAGTTCTCCAACTCACACCATAGTGGCCCACTCCTTGCTGCTGTCCCCACCCTCAGGCACAGCCTCACAGGGGCAAGTAAGTCAGAAAACAAAACAGAACTGCTTCCGGTCACAAGAGCAACCCTTTCCTTCATGTAAACTGGCGGCTTCGACGGTTCCCACAGCCCTTCCCGGTTCTTAGAGACTGTAGTTCACTCAACAGCAAATGTTCATCGGCGTCTTCAAAACTCAGCCTAAAAGTCGGCTTCCTCCAATGGGGTCCCTGTGTATCTTTCTGTCATTCTCGGCCTGTCCTGCTTCTCAAACCGGTGTGCGCCGTGGACGGTTTCCACCGGCCGTTTGTCCTGACATGTGGCGTCTCTCCATCCTCCCATTTCAAAAATCTCTTTAAATGGGAGTGGCCTAAATGTATGAGCCAGAGGTCAGAGGCTAGCACCATGCATTAAACAGCAATAAGACCTAACCACATGTTGTGTACAAAAAGGCCGACTGTCAATCCGGAAACACAAGCTAAAGGTGAAGGGGTGGAGAAAGGCGCTGGGTTTGCTCACACAAATCAAAAGTAAACCAAGCAGCCATCGCAGTGAGGAAAATGGTCGTGGACAGACAAACAGGGTTCGCCTTTGGCTCGGTGGGCCAGTCCTCAAAGCCATAGCGTCGCCAGCCTCCACACCGCTGGGTTGCCTGGCGTGAGGAGGCAAAACCAGGTAGATTTGCAGAAGAAAACGGACAAATTCTCTACTGCAGTTGGAGACTCCGCCATCCCCTCTTACTGATAAATGCAGAAGACAGAAAGGCAGGAGAACCTCAAAGACAGGCAGAGCCTCACCTCCCCCCGCCCCCCATCAGCATCCGCACAGCCCCGCAGTGAGCAACAGGAGGATCTGCATCACGAGCACATGAAACATTCCCAGGCAAGCAGGCCAACTCCTGCGAAGCGCTCGGTGGGCTGTACTGTGCATGCGCACAGCAGGGATGGCGAGAGCCCCAAAAGCTCCAGCTTCAGCTTTAACTCAGGAGAGGGAAGCGGCTGCGCCTTCCTGACCCGGCCTTGACAGTCCCGCTGCCCCCTTGGTCATATTCTATTGACCTCTCGGGCAGCCATGATTCGTGGAGGAGGATGGCAACCGGGTGGGGCTACTTGGAGGTGTGAGCACCTGCAAGTCTCTCGGGAATCATCATCTTCCGTTTCTCAGGGCGCTGGCTGAGCGCCAGGCCCCACGCTGGCACTGGCCACTGACAATCTCATTGAGTCACTGGAGCCCGTCCCCACTGGCTTTCTTCTTTCTCTCCGCAAAACCTTTTCCACCCCAGCCTCGAGTGGCGTCTCTAGCACAGTGCGCATGTGACCCTTTCTGTGTTGGGGGCCAGTGTCCCGTGTGTGTGCTGTCCTCCAGACACACGTGTGGCTAAGGACACTTGAAATAAGGCTCGAGTGACTGAGGAACTGAGCCGTGGTTTACCCTGCCCACCCCCACCCCCCAGGAATCATGGTGTCGTTATTACAAACACAGGGAAAGCAAGAGACTGCACAACTGAAAAATGTCACATGGTCACTTCACCTTCCAAGAGCAAGCTTGTCATTCGGAGACTGTCCCACACATCCCCCGACCTTGAGGACACCTGCCCAGAGGCACCTGATGGGAATTTGCTGTGACAAAAATGCTGGTGAGGACCAGCTACAAGACCAGGAGCCCTAGGAGTGCAGAGATAGCCTCCCAAAGCATTTGCTGAGGGGGCGGGGCTTAGAGGGGGCATTCTGGGGAGGGGGCGGGGCTTGAGAGAGAGGGCTGGGGCTCCCAAGGGGAGGTATGGAGCACCTGGGGAGGGGGTCACGTTAGTAGCTGGACTGAGTCTGCATCCTCACCTGAGTTCAGCCATGGCTGTCTACACAGCGGCTGTCTTTGCGCTCTCCCCAGGAGCGAGCAAGTGGGACTCAGGTGTCCTGGCTGAACTGAGTCCTACATAGTACAGACGTCTGACGTCCAAGGGGTCCGAGTTACTTCCTTCCTGTTCTGTTCCGTCTCCAGCCACCACCGTTTGTTATGGGGGAGTGGGCAGGAAGAGGCAAAGACTAGGACTCAGGCCTCTTGTCTTCAGACCCAGACTGGAAGACACAGGTCAGCAGGGACAGACGCAGGTCCATGACAGACTCAGGGAGACTACAGAGCGAGGAATCCACGGGACCGGGGGAGGGGGAGGGATCACTTCCTATTTTCTACCTGCCTCTAAAAGTCAACTGTCAGCCAGCCTTTGGGTGGGCTGCACGCCCACGTGTTGTTTGGCCTGGAAACAGGTTTAAACTAGACAGTGGTGCGATCCCCCTGCCATAGCTGTGACCACTCCATTTGCAGGCTGGGCAGGGCGCATGGGCTCCCGAGCATGCTGAGATCATCACTGAGCGCGGCTGGTCCCATGGTCTCTGTGTGGTCCAGACAACATCACACCGACACGGGCCTAATCCCGTGTCCTACTCGTGGTGGAGGGAGCTGGGCCTTACATGGTCGCTGCTGGGCGGGTCCTATCTCTTCCTCATGACCCGGGCCTTGCCTAGCCTCGGCCCTGGGCAGCTTGCTTAGGCCCCAGGAGGATCGGCCAAATGCTCACGTGTGAGGCTCTCTCTCAGATGTGGGAAGAGTTTTTACTCAGATGAGACACTTTAAGCCCACTGGGACCCACACTGTAGAAGTTAGAGGTAACTCCCGGGGCTCTACAGCAGGTCAGAAGCGAGAGGCGGGGCTCCTGCAGACAGCACCGTGTCCCTCCTGTTAGCATTCTGTCTAAACTCCGCCTCCACAGTCACCTGGCAACACCCAGGCATGCTCCTCCCCACAGTTACCTGGCAACAGGCAAGTAGCCCTGCCCACTATAAAAGGGGCTGCCTGCCCCCTCCTCTCTCTCTTTCTGCTCCCTTGGTCCCTTGACCCCGAGCCTGCAGGTTCGCCGTCCCCTCAGCTCCCAAGCTCTGGTCACATCTAGACAGAGTTTTCAGGGCCCTGGTCACACCTGTGTTAGACTGAGGCTCTGCTGGGAATCCCTCTGGGCCTGGACGCTGACCTCACTGCTTCATTGTCCCAAAGAAGATGTGTATTTGTCTCGGGAGCACTAGTGAGCACACGAGCGGTCCCATCCAGGCGGCTAGTCCTCTGCAGGGAGCACGGGGGAGAGGGAGTGGCCACATCTAGTTTATCCTTGAACTCCTGTCTCCTCTGTTCAGCTCGGCGATCACTACTCTATCTATCCGCTTGGACCTAATTCAGTCATTACCCGGTTTTCAGTTAATCCACACGCAAGTGCACAGCCAATTCCGTGATCACACCAACCACCCTTTACGTTTCCCATATAGGGAGATGCCGCCGGTGCCTAGATCCACAATTCGAGAACACAGAGGGCGTTCACAGAGTGCTCTCAAGCTTCTAATCTCAACCTGCCTCGGGGTCTGCACCCTGAACTCTGAGCCCAAAATGTGCCCGTAACAGCTGGAATCCAATGCTTGGATTGGTGTAGGAATTGGTGTAGAGGATTCAGGGGGAGTGGAGGAGGGTAGGTTTGAGAGGCGATTACTACAGCTCTCCTCTTTTGTTTGAGGGTTTCCGATTCCCAGTGAGATCAAGGTAAGCAATCCCTTCCTGTGGTTTCAGACTTAAGACCCAGGGAGGGTCTGAGAGCCCAGGGGAAAGAGCGGGCGACCTTCTGTCATGCCTCAAGAACTCGGCCAGAACCCTAAAGTCTAGAACTTCCTACTCATGTGATTCCAGAGGTCAGACTGCTGACAGGCCAAGTGTGATTCCGGCCACAGTGGGCGGCGACACTCGGGTGCAATACCAGAGATGGGACATCATGGGAGAGTGTGCCCAGGGCAGTCGGTGTGCGCCCTCCAGAAGCAGAGGGAGGGGCTTGTGCAGTCACAGGGAAAGGAAGGGTGTGCAGAAGTCTGGCTCTTACACTGCTTCAGAAACCCTGTTGTAGGCCTTGTGGGCCTCAGGCTTGTGTTCTCTGAGTATCGGCGTCCTTCCTTGCTCCGCTATTGAGACCGGAGCTTTCCTAGGGGTCCAGATCTTTCCTCTGCCTCGGGGATTTTCAAAGCACTGGGTCATATTTGGCAGCCCATCTGTTGTATACGGCACATGGGGTTTGGGTTTTGGTTTGGGGTGTGATTCAATGGAAGGACTCTCAGAGGAAAGAACCCGGCGGGCACAGCCTTGAACACAGTGTTCTAGCGGATGCCGGGTGGTGGGTGAGAATCTGCATACTGCGCCGTCAGGTCTGCCAGCCCCAGGATTCAGGATGTGAGGAGTTTGGGACAAAGCTGAGGACTGATAGCAAAGAGAAGTGTGACCTTGGCTGAGTTCGACTCCTCACTCACCCAAAGAGCCTGGAATCTGTATCCGAGACCCAGGATGCTGCCTATAGGCAGCAGATCCTAAAGGCCACGCCCTCCTCCTCACAACTCAAAGACAACTATAGCATGCCTGGACTCCAGGCATGCCCATTCCATTCTCTGACACGAGAACTTCCAGCTGCCTTTCCTGTTTATTCGATTCAGTGTCCGGTGCAAACACTGGCAGGTCCCTGCTTCCTACGCCTGCCCGCCTCCAAGTCCTAACCACAGTCTTGAGAGAGATTGTTGAAGTTGTCGTCACTGCTACACTTACATTTAGTGTCTTAACGGTATGGGAATGTGTGGGGTTGGTATGAAAATCCAAATTTTTCTGAGTACCTAACATCACGCTAGATGCTAGGAAACAACTCAGACACTCGGTGTGGGGTTCCTTGCATCCCAAGGCCCGTGCATCGCAAGGGCTCCACGCTTATAGGAATGGACTCAGTAATGGTCAGGAGAGGAGGGTGTCTATAGTCCCCCATGTTCTTAGACGTGTCTGCGACTGAACATCGGAGAAAGGGGAAAGGCCGTGGGTGCTGTTAAGGAGAAAGGACAGTGAATGAAGTTAACGTCACGGGCAGAAGGTTCTAGAGACGGATGGCCTTGCAGAGAAACAGCATGACAGACATCCCTTCCCCATCACAGCTATGGAATTGGGCTGATGGGAAACTACAGGGACCAGCGACCTCCCTCCATCCCTACTGCAGGAGGGAGGGTGAAGGAGTCCAGGCCCACGACTGAGGACTGCAGACATGAGGGGACACTGGTAGTGTCTCGAGGTGAATAGTGTGGGGTAACACTGTCCAAGGAGCAGCAAGGCCCTGAGTTCTCTCCTCCATCTCCCCCTGCTCTTGGTCCCTGTGGCCACCTCATCCACACTACTGCTCCTAAGACTCAGAAGATCACTTGGCAACAGTGGAGACTCAGAAAGAGCCTGTCTGTGTGTCAGCTTCCTCTGCCCTACCTCCCCTCCCCTCATCTTAGATAGGAGTCCCCACTTGCAGTTCCTCTTTCTCATGTTTATGACTCTCATCGTGAGGGATCTGGTCCATCCAGACACTTGACCTCCCGGGAAGGCAGCGAGTTCACTGTCTCTGCAGAGACCCTTAGACTCTTGCTAAGCAGAGCCCTGGTTTCAGACACCAGGCTACAGCACTGAGTAGGAGCCAGGCAGGAGCTCTTCATGGGGACAGGGGCGGGACAGCTGTGGGGTGTCAGCATTTATGTCAAGGTTCAGGAGAGGGCCTGGGCCACTGGGTGCTCAGCATGTGAGTGTGTTCCGCTTTCCAGACAGGGAGGGAATTCTGCAATGTGCTTCTCAGCCGCCTCTTGCTGGAGACGGCAAAGGGTGAGCGCGAGGTGAGGAGGGGTGAAGGGCAGGAAGGGAGTGTGATGAGGGTGTGGTGAGCAGAGGCAAAGGACTCCCATGCCCCCTACCTCTTCCTTGGCTTTCAAATTGAGGAAACCAAGATCAAGGAAAGAGCCACGGTGGCTGCTCTTGTGTCAAGGCCGGAAAGGTCAAAATCATAGGAAAATCCATGAAGTGGACGCCCGTCCTGAGAAATCCTCCTCCAGCACAGAGACTTGTTTCTGGTTAGAGAGACAGGTACACTGGGAGGAGGGGATCAGAAATAAAATTCGTCCTTGGGGAAACACAAAGAGCTAGCCCATATTTAAGTGCAGGCTTCAGGATGGCCCCTACGGAGGGCACTGCATGGCTTCACCCAGTGTTCAGCCTCTGACCCTGGGGACCCGGGTTCATGGGAGTCAGCTTCTCCACCCCAGTGTCCTACAGATTCCTTTCCCGCTGCTTCAGGCACCCTGACAGCTGCCCAGGAAGCCCGGCCAGTGAGAACCCAGGCAACCTCACTGTTGGAGGACAGTCATGCTCTTCCCACACACGACACCTTAGCTAAGGTCACAAGACGGAACTTGGTGGCTGTTGGATGTTTGAGTGGCAGGATCTCTGAGGAACCTTCTGGAAATTCACAGTCTCCCAGCCTTTTCCTCCTCCTCTTCCTCCTCTTCCTCCTCCTCTTCTTCCTCCTTCTCTTCCTCCTCCTCCTCCTCTTCCTCCTCCTCCCTCTTCCTCTCCTCCTCCCTCCTCCCTCCTCCCTGGTCTCTGCATCTGCCCTGCCCCCCTGCAACTGTCCGTGCTGCTGAAAACACCTATAATGAGTACCACCACCTTAGGAGATCAGTGATCTGCATTTCTGGCAATTATAGCCACTTGGCCGTATGGCCTCTCCTCTCTGTAAAATAAGGTCTGCACTGCTTAGATTGGCCACATTTCATGGACATTTAGGGTATAATGTTGTGTCCGATTCTTTCATATTTAATGCTGCTCATGTGTCTGTTCTATACAGAGTGTAAATTTCTGGGAGGCAAACCTCAGGCCCAGGGAGCCTCCTCTGAGGTCCACCAAACAGTTTCAGTTTCAGGTAGAAACTATGCCAACCTCTTAACATTCATTCCCCCATCCCCCATGTGTAGATCTTGAGGGAAACCACACAGGTTACATACTCCCCCCACCCCACGACAGGACACTCTTGGGGCCACCTCAGCAACAAACACCGCAGGAAAGCTGAATTACAGCCTTAACACAGCTGAGAATACTTGTCAAAACCTGACATCACTAAGAGCAATTTAGACTCGGAGACGTTCAGAAAGGAGAGACTGGGATGTCAGAGTGGGACGTCCCTAGGGTGGGGGTGGGGTGGGGCAGCAGAATCCCTGCTTTGGGGTGCTGCCTGGGCTGCGCTAGAGAGTCATCACCATCAAGTTAGTTGGGACATTTGATGGCAGAGGGATGTGGCAATAGCAGGACCAGGATGGTTCAGAAGAAACCTGGAGTGCTGGTGCCAGTGGTTATGGAAGGAACTTTAGAGAGGTGCCCCGCCCCTGACTGTGCAGGGCAGAGACGGGATGAGAGTTCCCGAGTGAGTCCAGGCAGGCAGGAGGCAGCAGGAAGGAACATCCTCAGAACAGGGAAAGATGGTCCCAGCCAGGCTTCTTCTCATACGAAGTGTCTGGTCAGAAGAGACCACACAGACAGGACAGCTTTGCGTCCACTACCAGGGAACCACAGCCACGGAGCTACTTTGTCCCCAGTAATCAACATTAACAGTTCATCTAAGGCTGCCCGGTGGAACCCGAGCACACTCACTGTGGTGGGGCCATGGGACTACGTTAGGTTTGAGCCACATAGGAGCCAAGAAGAACATCGGTTCCTCAAGAGGACCCTTGCAGCTGATGAAAGTTGTCTGGAAGTGGGGACCTAGAGTAGACTCTACTCTCCAAGTTACATTCTACAAAAAGAAGACACTAACTTTTGGTGCAGGACTGCAATGCAAAGGCAGGAGTCTGGGTCAGCTACACGCCATTCTCTTAACCAAGCACTTCTTCAGGGTACCCACTCTATTTTAACAGCTTCTGTGGGGTGAGAAAATCTGGGAAAAGGAGTGAGGGCAGCTCTCGGGAGGGGGTCCACAGCATCGTCATGGACTCTGGTTGATGCTCCGTGTCCTCAGGGAGCCAAATATATTTCTTCTATCTGGTCCATGAGACCTTTGTGACTCTGGGCAAGTCACTTCATGGACTGTCAAATACATGATGTTCCACTCGCGGTACAGGGCTGGTGTGGGGGCCACAGGGATGACAGTTCCTCCCAGGGAACTCCACAAAACCATGCTCATATGAACTCTGAACCTACCAAGTCCCCCCTCCCCCTGAGTTTCCTGGCTAGAGGAAACACCCTCACATATCTGGCTCCCTCCAGATATGTAGTACAGGCTGCTTAGGCATAGCCAGGAAGCACCAGTCCGTTTTCCTCAGACTTCAAGTGCAATCAATACATTAAGCTTTATACACTGAGAATAGTAGATAACCAAAGGAATGGAATGGCCTAGTAAATAAGCACCATCTGAGAAGAGAACATAAAGCCCCCTTTCCCATGCCCGAAGTTTCTAATGAAGACTTGACCACAGGCCAGCATGACCTTTTCTCTCTAAAAATTATTCCAGAATCTGCCCCTTGAGTGGTTTGCCCTACACTGCAAGACCTTCTTCCCAATGCAGCTCTGGTTCAGCTGCCCCCCACCCTTCTGAGGCAGCAGGGGACAACAGAAGGGTATCTGGGAAGCTTTCCCTGGACATCCATGCTATTGTTTTAAATATGTTGTCTAAGCAGGTGGCTCAAGGGTACAAGATGCAAAGATGCTAAGACATTCAAACAGGATGACCCAGAAAGGTACTGCAGTGACGGCAAGAGGTTCTGCATCCTTGTCATGGGAATCCAAGACAGACCAGGAGGCAGCCAGCAAGGCCATCCTACTATCTACCCCAGTTCAGAGTTTGCTGGACTAATCAGAAAATGCCCTTGGCATAGTAGCAGGCAAGTCCTGCGAGCCAGAACTCGAGCAGGAGGCTACACACGCAGAGTGGTGTAGCTGCAGCCGCTGTTCAGCCTCTCCTGTGTCCAGGCTGCTTCAGTGGCTTGATCAGGCCTAGTCATCCTGACCCTGGGAGCCGGGAGACTTTCCCTGAACGTCCCTGCCCCAGCTCAGCAGCTCCTCCCTGCAGCTGCTTCTCCATAATGCTCCTCTAGGTTTGGCCGGTTCAGGCAGATCTAATTATTTATTCAACTGTCACATGGGCAGTTGGTCGGAATGTCCTGGGTTCCGGGCCAGTTGGGCATCAAACAACGGTGGTCACCTGACTTGTTTTTTTTTTTTCCTGGCACATTAGAATTTAAGCATGTCCAATGAAGAGGACACCAGGTTACTAGTCCCTTGAGCCCACTGTCCCCTTCCAGTGTCCAAATAACTGAGGCCCCAGTACGCTTCTCTATAATCCATTTTTATACACGAAGAAACAAATTCCAAGGTGACTAGTTGAGCATGTGTGTGGAGATCTGTGCTAATCTCCTGGGCTCTACTGTTGCCCCCTTTCCCTCTCTGCATTTTGCTTAATATGTCTCCATTCGAGCAAACCATCCGTTTGTCCGAGTACGTGCTGTGTCCAGTCCCTAGAGAATTACAAAACTGCAGATGCTCTTGAGACCTTTCGATACAGGCCAACGCAAACACACAGACACACAGATGCATATACAGACACACAGACAGACACACACACACATATATACATATATACATATATATACACACACACACACATACATACAATCCTTAGAGAAGTCTGGTCATAAGCTGTATCAGTGATTAAAATTGCATTCAAAGAATTAGGTTATCTCTCTACAGTCTAAATCATGGAAAGAATATTCCTGCACCATTGTCATGCACACTTCCCAGAATGGACCTGACTGTGGCAGAACACAGAAAAGACAAGGACACACAGAGATACGGGGGGACTGAGTGGTCTGAGCTCTAGGCTGGAGAAACAGCAGCACCTGGAAGCTTAGCATGTTTACAGTTTAAAGTCAAACAGGGAGGTGGAGCTCGAGGCTGGCAAGGAGGCAGGGCTATTACCTAAAGATAACCGAGGGAACAGAGTTTATGGTTTACAAGTGAACAAGGGGACAGGTGTAGCTAATCTTTTTTTGTTTGTTTGTTTTATTTTATTTATTTATTTTGGTTTTTCGAGACAGGGTTTCTCTGTGTAGTTCTGGCTGTCCTGGAACTCACTCTGTAGACCAGGCTAGCCTCGAACTCTCGAACCCAGAAATCCGCCTGCCTCTGCCTCCCAAGTGCTGGGATTAAAAGGCGTGCACCACCACGCTTTGGTGTAGCTAATCTTGATTGACACAGTCTCTGTAGGGGACAGTCCTCAGGCCATACGCATCCAGGGTGGAGGAAGCTATGGCGGACAGACCCTGCACAGACTGTCAGCACTTGCGCTTGGTGCTCCCTGGAAGGTTTTGCTATGTCTCTGAATCTCACCCCAGGGGAAGTGTGTTAATGCATTCCTCCCTGGGTCTGGGGCTCTGGAGTCTTTGACGTGGCTGGCTCATGTCAACACATGTTCACCAGGACTGTGGTCACTAGGGACCGTCTCCGTTCCCCACATTGAGGACATAGGATAATAAAAGGTGTAAGCCATAACAGAGGAGCTTTTGGTAGGGTCTTTGCTTGCTAGGATAAACCACTGTTACTTAGACAAGCAGAAAGCTCTTTATTTCCAGTTCTGGAGGACAGAAACGTCCATGTTAAGGTGGTCAGAAGGAACTTGTCAGTTTAAAGGCAGAGCCGTCTGTGCCTGTCTGGGCCCGATCTCTGAAAGTTATTGACACGTGTCTGTGTCTGCTTCCTCACGGCTCCTGCAGAAGTCCCTGGCTGACCTTGCCTTCCAGGTGTACCACTCAACTACCCGACTGTCACCGCATGTCCCTGTTGCCTCTGTGTC